TGTGCTGTGCTGTGCTGTGCTGTGCTGTGCTGTGGTGTGCTGTGGTGTGCTGTGCTGTGGTGTGCTGTGCTGTGGTGTGCTGTGGTGTGCTGTAGTGTGCTGTGGTGTGGTGTCATGATCATTTCCGCTCTCTCTAAGTCACGCCATTAGCACCTCCCAGACCCTCTTCTCCTCTTCCGTCGACCTTCCGTTGACTGGGTTCCTCAGTCAAGGCCTCAGAATCCTCATCTGGAAAACGGGGCTGCAAACTTACCTGGCAGAGTGTCCTGGCGAGGAACCAGGTGGGAGAAGGGTGTGCAGTGCCTGGCAACCACCACAACGGCCCCTTTTATATAAGCAAGTCACACTCTTCTAGGTGTCTCGCTGGCATTCGCTTACTCCTCACGACAACCTTGAGCCCTGGTATTATTCTTTATCCCCGTTTTTCAGACCAGCACACTGAGGCACGACCAGTCAGGTGGCCCAGCCAGCTAGTGGGACTTTTCCTGCTCTGAGAGCCAGTGATGCGACTCCCTAGGGAGACCGGGGCGAGGCCTCAGATCTACAGCCCATCCAGGCCCCCGCACACCGCTGACGGCCCCTGGTTCTCTCCGCCGGGTAACGGCAAAGCCGTGGTTCCCGAAGTCGGCCACGTCGTGTTTCTAGCTCTGCCATCATCCCCAAGAGTGGGTTGTGCATGAAGTTTGTCATCATTTCCCGTCCCTCTTAATGCAGGGCCCCACCCACCGCGTTACTCATCCGTCCAACCAACCAGTACTCCTTCCACGGCACCACACGCTCCTGTTGCCCTCCCCGCCCACCCCCCCATCCGCACAAACTCGTGGTCCACAGGGACACCCCAACGACCAAGGCCACTCCCCAGGGGCTCCTGCTTTCACATGGGACTGAGCACACATCCTTCCGAGTACCAGCCACCAGAAGACAGAGAGGGAGATTCTGATGGGGGCACGGGCTCTTCCGCAGACGTCACCATGTTCTCTGCAGCTGGGAAGTGGCCCCGCTGGGCCCCAGATATCCCCTCTCAGAGCTCGGCCACTTGAGCCCTCCCAGTCCCAGCTCCCACGTGGGGAGAGGAGCCCCGTTACCTTATGTCGCCTCCATTCATGATGGTCATCACCAGACAGAGGTCGGTTTTGGTTTCAAACGCATAGGCCAGGGACACTATAAACCTGCTGTGGACTTTCGCTAGAATCTTCTTCTCTACCATAGCGCCCTGAAAAGCAGATGTCGAACAAGAACACAGGTGTAGGCAGGAGAGTGACATCGCCATAAAAGACCAAGTTCCACAAACCAGAAAACAGCGCGATAGATAGAAACAGAGTTGCAAATACTTTTTAAAAGTGGTTTCCACAAAGCAACTGACATAACTTACAGACATGCTCACTCGCCCCATTTCACAGAGGTGAAATTGGACAAGCAAATTGGTCATGTGCAGAGAACTTCAGGTTTCCTGGAGCCTCCAGCAAGGGGGGCTCGGCCAACAGGCTTAAAAATGCCAGGTGGGGTCCCACGCGCCCCTGGCAGCCTGTTCAGTGCTGACTTCCCTTCCAGTTCTTCCTTAGGTCTAACCAGCTCGTCCCAGCCCTTTCCTCCTGGCCAGGTCTCCAGACAGCAGCAGACAGCGAGGTCCATTGGCCAGCACCCTCCAAGCCACCCCACATCTCTGCTCATTTTCTGTCTCTATTTTAAAGCCTCTGAAGTCCATCTGATATGAATTTAAAAGCTGTGTTTGGGTGAGGAAAGCAGATCCCCCCTCGAAGGCGGAATTCCTGATCCTGGAGCAGGCCCCTGCCCGTCCACCCTGCACAGGAAGACTCTAGGCTGATGTCTCTTTGTATCAAGTTCAACAAGGACCCTGAACTCGGAGCGAAGAGACTGTAGTACTGACTGTTGGGTCAACATTGGGGTGGACAGCCGTGAGGGGTGACTGTGTCCCCCCAGTCCCACAGGAAGAGCAATGTCAAGGAACGCCGGGGGGTGCTCTGTGGCACTACTGTTTACCCTGAGAAGCTGTGTCTGCCACGGGCATATTCTGCGCGGTGCAGCAGGACGGGGACAAAGGACCATGCGGGACACAACGTGCAGCTGGGAGATGAGGTCCTAAGACATTAAGCGGCTTTCGCTGATCCTGCCCAAATGGAGTCTGAGGCGGTTGGAGTGGACACCACACGGAGCACCTGCCCGTGCCTCCATTCCCTCCCCGTCCCTGGAAACCGGCTGTTCTCGGGGAAGAGCCTGTGCCTGGCACCACGGACATGCTCTGCCTCACGTGAAGGACGGGCCCAGCCTGGGCTCCATCCCCATGCGTTCTCCCTCACACACAGCCCAGGACTTTGGGAAAGTGCCGGAAAGTCAGAGTCAAGAACCCAGAGAACAACCTCACAGCCTGCCCCCAACACCTGCCGCTGTATCTCGTGGTGTTGGTGCAGCACCAAGGAGGCGAATCTGGAGCCACTCTCCCAGGAGGGGCCTCGCAGACCCCGTCCGTGTGCAGGGTGCCAAGGCAGGGGGAGAAGGGCAGCCGGACAAGCGGAGTCACAGGCCAGCAAGACCACAGAGGCCAAGCCCCCTCGGGGCCAAGTGCTCGGCCGCAGCACACAGACGGGCTGACCCAGGACAGGGAGACTGGAAACCAGCCGACGGCTGCACAGCGCCAGGGGCTCGGAGTCCAATGGCCAGGTGAGCTGGCCAGCCGGCCAAGGAGCACCGTGCAAAGCCGGATGAGGCACCCAGGGCCCACCCGGCCCGCTGACCCTGCCCGCCCCCTCCGCCCCGCCGTGGCAGCCGGCTGCCCACCTGGTACCCCTTCCTTTTCTTCAGCCTCTTCTTGTTCAGCTTCTTACACGCGTAGATCTTGCCAGTCGCCTTCATCTGGCAGGCCCACACCTCCCCGAAGCCGCCCTTCCCCAGGACCCTGAAGTCCAGGAACCAGTCCTCCCCCGTGGGCTGGGCCTCCAGCCACTTCCACTGCAGGAACCTGCGGAAGTACAGGCTGTCCAGGTACTCCTGGAAGGGGGCCTGGCTCAGGTGCGCCAGGGTGGCCCGCAGGAGGGGCTGGAAGAGCCCGTCCCCGCTCGCCCAGGGCCCCTCCCGGACCCGCGCCACCATCTCCTTGTCCAGGAAGCTGCAGAAGAGCTTGGCCTGGGGGTCCAGGTGCTCCGCCAGGATGGCCCGGGCCTTCTGTGGCCGGAGGTCATCGTCGGCAGTGTCATAAGCCTCGATGCCCTGCCAGAGCTCCAGGGCCGGGACGTGCCTCTCGCAGGCCCTCAGGAACTGCTGGAAGAGCCGCTTGCCGATAGGCTGCTGTGAGCACACGCTCTGGAACGCCAGGTCCAGGCTCTCCCGGAGCACCTCACACCTGGAGAGCGGGGGCAGCCTGAGCTTGGACAGGTACTTCCTGTCCCGGGTGGACGGGGCGCTGCTCCCGTCGAAGCTGCCCCGGGCGGCGATGAAGGCAGAGTTGGCCACCACCGTCTCCAAGGACCCGAAATCCATCCCGGCGCCAGCCTCCTGCAGCTCAGGCGTGAGGGGCCGTGGGCTGGCCCTCGGCACCCGTGTCCCGAGAGGACCTGACCCACTGCCCTCGGCCTGTGGCCTGTTCCTGCCCTCTCAGGACGGGAGGCGTCCCAGCCGGTGCAAGGACGACTGGGGCCACGCCGTGGGCCCGGGGAACCCAGCTGACACAGCTTGGACTAAATCCCAGCTGGGTTACGGAGGACGCACTCAGGGCAGTGAGCAGGTGCCAGAAGACGACAATCCCCTAAGCAGCTCCCAGACGGATTACACGGACCACCCACCCCACTCCGTCCTCTCGACAGCCGTCAGGAAGGACAAACTCCAGGCCCCCAGGTGCTCCGCTGAAGTGCCAGGGCTGCAGATCCATGCTGAGCGGCCCCGTCCAGCCCTCTGGCCTAAGCAGACAGATGGACCGCCCGTTTGTTTCCTTGCAGGGACAAGAGCCGAATGTAAGGGAGGGGGGCCCAGGAGAAACCTTAACTTATAAAGATGACCAGTGGTTTCCCCACTATGTTTCATTTTTGTCTTAAAAAAAATAGCAAGTGAGAAGGAAATCAACTGATAATAGGAATTCAGGGAGAAAAAAAAACACAATGAACAGCTTCCTGGGGTGTCTGCAGGTGAGACCACTGGTCCAGGAAACTGGTCAGTATGTGAGGACTGACATCTGTCCTGACCTGACACTGAGAGCAGCTGCATGTCACAGAGCTGATGGCTCTGAGGACCTGAGGTAACCCTGGCACTTGCTACTCCCTCCACTCACCTGGTATGATGGCCAAGCAGAGGTGCCCGAGACGCAGCCAAGCGAAGTTAGGACAGGGACGCAGGAGACACCCCACGCTACACTCAGGGGGAGGCCCACACAGACAGAGGCAGGAGGGAGGGCAATGAAGAGGCTAGGGGCACACCGGGGCACACTGGGGCACACCGGGGCACACCGGGGACACACCTGGGGCACATTTGGGGCACATCTGGGGCACACTGGGGACACACCTGGGGCACACTGGGGCACATCGGGGACACACCTGGGGCACGCCTGAGGTACATCTGGGACACACCGGGGACACACCTGGGGCACACCTGGGACACGGCTGGGGCACACTTAGGAGACAGCTGGGGCACATCTGGGGATGCCAGGACCAACAGAAATGTCAGCTTCGTGAGGGCACAGCCTTGTCTATTGTGGTATACAGTGGGTGCTCAGTAAATGTATGGGAAGAATGACAAGGAAGTGATGGGGGTGGTTACAGCTTACAAGAGGAGGAAGTAAAGGGTTGTAAAAATGAAGAATGCTTCGGCTCACCTGCTGGTTCCACAGTGGGAGAAGAGGAGTGTCAAGGAGGCATCGAGATTCTGCAAGTGGGTTCGGGGACACGGGTGGATCCCCTGTAGCGACCGGGGAGGCAGAAATGAAAACTTGGCAGCTGAGCAGCGAGGTTTCCCCATCTCCTAACCAGGTGGGTTGGAGTCCAGCCTGGCCACTTAATAGCAGGTGACCTTGGGCCCATGACTTTAACCCCTTCCTGCCGACCCCATCAGAGTTCAAATGGGAAAGTGGTTCCCACAGTGCCTTGCAGAACGGAGCCCCTGCTCGTCCCCACAGTGTCCTGAGACAGCGCGTCCCCATGGTCCAGGCAGACAATCACCTGGAGATCTGGCTGAAATGAAGATTCTGCCTCAGTGGGTGTGGGGTGGGGCTGAGACACGTGTCTCACAAGGTCCCGGGTGGTGCTGACGCCGCCAGGCAGGACACACGGAGAGAAGTGAGGTCTGAGGACAGCTCCTGTGGGATCAACACGGAGCCACATCCCGGGGAGGGGGAGCATCCGGATAAACAAAATTAAACACGTTTCCTATCACGGGACTTAGAGACTTCAGAGAGAACTCGGCTCTAACGGAGGTACAGCACACAGTGTTTCCCAGACTCATTTGGATCTCTTTTTAAATCAGACTTTTTATTTGGGGATAATTGTAGATTCACATGCAGTTGTAAGAAATAATCCAGAGAGACCCTGTGTACCCCTCACTCGGTTTCCCCCAATGGCGACGTCTTCTCAAACTGTAGCTCAGGTTCGTAGCCAGGACACTGACCCTACACAGTGAACACACAGAACATTCTGTCACCACACGGACCCCGATTCCCTTTTACAGACACGCCCACCTCCGTCCCCCTCTCCTCCCCCCACTGAACCCCTGGCCACCACCAATCTGTTCTCCATTTCCATAATTTTGCAGAATGCTGAGTCGTTAGCATCCACAGTGTGGACGGACCATGGTTTGACAATTCGCCCAGTGAAGGCCATCTGGGTTGATTCCAGTTTGAGGCTATCATGAATAAAGCTGCTATAAACATACAGATTTTTGTGCAGATATAAATTCCCATTTCTTTGGAGTTAATGCCCAAGAGTGTGATTTGGTGGGGTCATATGGTATTTGCATGTTTAATTTTTTAAGAATCTGGTGAACTGTTTCCAGGTGGCTGTACCGTTTTACATTTCCACCAGCAACGTGCAAGTGGTCCAGTTTCTCAGGAGCATCCTCAGGAGCATTTGGTGTTGTCACTCTTTTTTATTTTTTCCATTCTGAGAGGTGTGCAGTGGTCTCCCATTGTGGTTTTGATTCGCGTTTCCCTCATGGCTGATGACGTTGAACACCCTTTCATGTGTTTCTTTGCCATCTGTAGACGCTCTTTGGTGAAACATCTCTTCGTGCCTTTTGACCATGTTCTAACTGGACTGTTTGCTTTTGTGCTGTTGAGTATTGACAATTCTTTCTGTATCTCAGATACTAGTCCTTTGTTGGATTTGTGGTTTTCACATGCTTTCTCCCAGTTGTAGCTTTCTTTTCATCCTCTTCACGTCAGATTACACAGAACAAAAGTTTTTAACTTTGTTGAAGTCCAATTTATCAATTTTTCCTTTTACAGATTGTGCTTTTGGTGTCAAATCTAAGAACTCTTTGCTTAGCCCTAGATCTTGAAAATTTTCTCCCACATTTTTTCTAAAAGTTTTATACTTTCACATTTAAACTCGTGATCCATTTTAAGTCAATTATTTTACCAGGCCTGAGGGTGGGTCAAGGTTCACTCTTTGGCCCGTGGATGTCTGACTGACCCGGCTCTGACTATCGAGCAGGCCGTCCTCGCTTCATTGACTCTCTTTGGCACCTTCGCCTCACACCAGTCGGGCGTACCAGTGTGGGTCTATCTCTGGGCTTTCTGTTCTGTCCCCTGGTCTCTGTGCCATCCCTCTGCCAGCACCGCACCGTCGTGATGGCTGCAGCTGCACAATGAGCCTCGAAACTGAGGAGACCGAGTCCCCCCGCTTCACTTTTCTTTTTCAAAAGAACACTTCAAAAAACGAGCTATTCAAAATACAGAAGAAAATGTTCCCCTATTTTAGTTCCTTTGCCTTTCTATATAAATTTTAGAATAGATTTGTCTATATCTACAAAACAATCTTCCTTGGATTTTGAGGGGAATCATGTTAAACCTTTATGCTGATTTGGGGAGAACTGACATATTTCCCGTGCTGAGTCTTCCACCCCGTGGACATAACTCCTGTCTCCCTTGCTTTAGATCTTTAATTCCTTTCATCCTCATCGTGGAGCACTCGGCACACAAGTCCTGTTCGTGTTGTGTTAGATTAACACCTATGTACTCCTACTTGTTTTGAGCAATTGCAAATGGCATGATATTTCTAATTTTGGTATCCCCGTGTTCGTTGCTACTATATAGAAATACACTTGATTGTGGACATTTTTATCTTGTATCCTTTGACCCTGCTGAACTCACTTATTCTAGGAGTGTTTTTGTAGAGTCCTTGGTATTTGCTACATAAAACAGTCATGTCATCTGAAAAGAGGGACATGTTTATTTCTTCCCTTCTGATCCGTAAGCTTTTTCTTCTCTTGCCTATTGCACCAATCCAGTGTTGAATAAGAGTGCCAACAACAGAAATCCATGCCTTGTTCTCCATCTTGGGGTCAACACATTCCATTTTTTTCACCATTAGATCTGATGTTAGCTGTAGAATTTCTGTCAACGCTTTTAATCAAGTTGAGTAAATTTCCCTCTATTCTTAGTTTGCTGAGAGTTTTTAATCATAAAAGGATGTTGAACTTTTTTCAAATGCTTTTTCTGCATCAGTTGGTATGATCACGTGATACTTCCTTAGCCTGTTACTGTGCTGGATTACAATGATTGACTTTCGAATATTGGACCAACTTTGCATCTCTAGAATACAACCCATTTTATCATGGTGTATAATGCTTTTTATAAACTGTTGGGTTCAATTTGCCAATATTTGGTTAAGAATTTTTGTGTCTATATTTGTGAGGGATTTTGGTCTGTAGTTTTCTCTTTTTCTGTACTGTCTTTGGTTTTGCTGTAATGGTAATACTGGTCTCATAAAATCAGTTGGGAAAGGCTCCCGTCTCATTTTCTAGAAGACATAGTGTACAATTTGTGTTGATTCTTCTTCAAATGTTTGGCAGAATTCTCCAGTGAAACCATCAGGGCCTGCAGGTTTCTTTGTTGGGAGATTTTTAATTATGAATTCAGTTTCCTTAATAGTTACAGAGCTACTCATATTACCTATCTCAAATTGGGTGAATTGTGTTTTCGGAGAAAGTGTTCCATTTCACCTAAGTTGCCAAGTTTATAAATGCAGAGTTGTGTTTAGTAGTCTCTTGTTATCTCTGATGTCTGCAGGGCCTGTAGTCATATCTAGCTTCATTCCTGATATTGGTGATTTGTGTCTTCTCTCTTGCTATAGGTTTTGTCAATTTTATTGATCTTTTCAAAGAACTGGCTCTTTGTTTCACTGATTTTCTCTTTTGCTTTTCTGTTTTTAATTTCATTGGTTTCTGCTTTTATCTTTTATTTCTTCCTTCTGCTTGCTTTTTTTTCTCTTTTTTTCTAGGTTTCTGAAGTGATTTGAGACTATTGATTTGAGACTTTCCCTCTTTTGTAATATATTCCTTTAGTGCTATAAATTTTCGTGTTAACACTGCTTTAGCTGTGTCCCACAAATTTTAATGTTATATTGTCTTCATTCAGTTCTATGTATTTTTTTAA